TACAGAAATTTTTCTGTTCTCTTGGAGATCCTACACTACAGAGATTCTAAGTTGCCTTGGAAAGCTTACTTAAATACAAGAGGCTCATCAATATAAATAAATTGTTAAAATAATTCAGTTACCACCGGGTGCAACCTGCCAAAAGCACATAGACCTCAGCTCTTCTGCAAATCTGGGAATTGTTTCTCCTGCTTTTCACTGTTATCCCTGAACTGCAAATTCTCTTTCCCACATTTTAGCATCAACCTGCTTATTGCATATAAATGTGACAGAGAAAGGTTATTTCACCAGAAGGCAGAAGGGATGGAGCCCAGCCCTGGGCACAGGGTACCTGGCCACCCACCTTATCAAATATTGCCCCCTGCAGTACTTCCTGCAAAAACATCCAATGGACAAATCCATCTGTTTTACTCCTGAAGGTTTTCCAGCTTACTGGACTGCTCTGAGCCAGCAGCAATTGTGAATTTGCTATTTTATTCACTCTGAAGTTTCTGTTTCATGAGCCTTTTTGTTCCCCCAAGGGTCCTCTCCTGGCATGACCTGGTGCTCCTACATCAACCCACCAAAGGAGAGATTTTTTTCCCATTCACTATTTGGGCCAGAGTAAAGAGAATTAAATCCTGCCCTACTCAAACAAGGCACAGAACAGTACTTAAAACACAACTTAAAGGCAACTTTCTCCTCTGTAAACATCAGAACTGGGACTTCACACCTTTAAAAACCTAAAAAAATATTTGGTAAATGCCTATTTCTTTCAGGTGGAGCTCTCTTTCCCTTAGAGAGAAGTCTCTGCTCTTCAGATTCCTGATCTCCAACTTTCCTCATTACACAGCACAAATTTTACTAACCGCATTATTGGTCAAGCCGAGTCAAACAAGTTAAAATGCCAACTTTTTAAACTTTGATATATAAATAGAAAATCTTTAAGTCCTCCTGTGAGTTTCAGCACTCAAACCAAATAGGAAGAGGCATTTAAGTGTTTAGGAAAGGATGCCACTGAAGTTAGTAGTGACAAGCTGTTCAGATTGGAACTGGTAAATACGCAATATAAGAAATAGGAAAAGGAAATATTTAGAACCGAGCGATGCCAAAATTGCAATCAGCAAATGGAAGGCTAAATGTGCTGAGCAAATCTGGATGCTTTTTTTATTATTTATTTTTATTGTTTGAGCTGTGCCATATAACCATCTCGTTACAAGAACGGATCAATAACAGCTCCTGGCCACCCCGCTGCAGTGTCGTGTCACACCTCCAACAGGATTTCGGTGGAAGGAATGTGTTCAACTCCACTGAGAAAAGAAGTGCTGGCCTGTTACTGCTTCTTTGGGTTTGAAAAACCTGGATGCTTGAAGCCAGTGGGGGTTTGTGATATCCAAGACACAAGAGAGATGAGGATTTTGGCACGTGTTGGGGGACTGCAAACAGTCACTACCACGCACTCAAGTGCCCGATCATGCAGAGATGTAGGTGAGAACAAAGTGACTGCATGAAGGTGCATGACACCCATCTTCTGAAGGTGACACTCCCCAAATCCCTGAGCCCAGTGCTGAGGCTGCAGTGGGAATGCAGAGCCAGAGGGACACGCAGTGGTGGCTGGCAGGGAGGGCAGGTGAGTGTCACCACCTCGCTCATGCCAGCCAAAGCCACCAAAAGCAGCTTTTTACTGCCATTTATTGCCAGTAAAGCTGCATTTACTGCCAGTAAAGCAGGAAGAGGACAGGTGAACATAGGAGGAGAGAAGCAGCGGGGACACATCTTCCTTTGTAGAGGTCCAGAAGCAGTGGGAGGTGTTGATGGCATGAAATGTTTCTGTTTCAGACTGGAGAATGCAAAAGAATGGCTTCATAAATTATTCTCTGTTCTGAAGGAAGAGTGAATAGACTTGAAGGACAGGTGATGTCTCTGAAATATGCAAATAGAGCTGAGCTGGTCCAAGCAATTACCTTTCCACTGCCTGGAACTTCAGACTGAAAGGAATGACTCACAAGAAACAAAAGATGTGCTAAAAAGGTAGAAGATGACGAAGGAAGACTGCATCAAGAGGAGAATGGAGACAGCATGGAAAAGAATATTCCTGACCTTCTACTAACAGCTGTTCTTGGGAAAAGGAATAAAACAACCCACAACATGTAGTAAGACCATGCCAACACAGAAGGGCTGAATTGCAAAACATCCTGAAAGGCAATTGTGATTACTGTTTCTAGACAAACACAGCCATGAGATTCCCTGGCTTTGTGGATGTAAAGACAATGGACCTCACCTCAAATATCCTCGAGGTTACTTGTTAATTTTAAAGATTTTCCAGCAAATAAAATTGCTGAAAGTAAGTGCAGTATGATCATTTCTTCCCAGGTTTTAGACAAAGCTCTGAAAGTGAAGATTAGCCAGAACTATGGGACAACCTGCAGGCAGCAAGGGTGAAAAAAACCACGAAACCACATTGAAAACAATGATACTGTCAAAAAGATTCTGTCAAAAATGGCACACAAACTTCAGAGAGAAGAGAAGAGAACAGCTATGCTGCTGCCTCTCCACATTCAGCTGTCTCCTAATGAAGTCTGGGTACTCCAAAGTCGGTGCAGGAACAGGAAGCAGCAGGTGAGATTTGGGCTGCTGTTAGAGTTCTCATTGCTTCTGGACACAAATTCACTGCATCAGAACTCTTTTACTTTGATTTTTTTCTTTTTTTTACCATCCAAAACAAAGATACCAAATTAAAGCAGGTTACTCTGATGCTAGAAATGTTATAATAAAAAAACTTCAACATGAAAGAATGAATCGATGGTGAAACAAGAAAAAGGAATAAAGAAGTGGATCTATTTGGACTGCACAAGAAATACTGCATTTAGTTCCATTCTATTTATTAACAGCCTGAAGGCTGCAGAACGGCAGCAAATCTGCTGAAGGAAAAACGAACCTATGAAAAAGAAAAATAAGCAGTTTTAAGCTTAGAAGGTTACTAAAGGATCAAAATAAAAAAGCCCTTTTGCAGATATATGGTACAGGAGACTGAGGAGGATTTAAAATAACAAAAAATAACAACTTTAATGGATGAGATGAACAGCTGAAGAAAAAGTAAGTTGGGAACACTGAGAAAGCTTTAAAATAGCAAAATCCACGAGGATGCACAATAAGAAATTGAAGGCTTTTGTACTATAATTACTATTTATGATTCATAATGATATGAAAGCCAAACTTTTCAAATTTGTAACGTGCACTTTATGCTGCTTTTAACCAAGCATTTGGAGTATTTAATTCACAATCTATGGAACGTAAAAAAAACCTGAAGGAACCCAGCAGATGAGCACGTAAAGCAAACAAAATGACAGTGATGAAGCACCTTGTAATGTACCCACAGCTCTTTTCTATAAATCCAATTTGAAATTTGAAGACTAAAGTAGCTATTTTATCTCCATCCCCTGACAGATGCATCTCCATCATTTTAAAGAACAGAGCTCCCTCTCGTGGCTCCAGAATGTGGATTTGGTGGGGAGAAGGGAAACCAGGCGAGCAGCATGAAGATGCACCAGAGAGAACTCCTGAGAGCATTTTGCTCCTATAGAAGTGGAATTAAAAGGATGATGTAATAAGGACAGGTGAATTCTTGTGAAGAATTTGCTGTTAAGGTAACTCTTCACCTTAGGGGAAGAGGGGAAGAACAGTGCTGCCAACCTTTCTTTGTTTGCTGTATGGGTTCTTTAAAATATTTGTTTTGTAAAAGCATATAACTCCTTTTTCCTGGCTCACAATTTTTTAACCTGAAGCTCACAACTCTGTCACAACTCTGACAGTAAGGATTTCTCTGAGGCAAGGAAGTGAATACCCAAAAAAGCTAAGCCTTTCACTGTGCTGAAAAATCTGTTCAGGAAAGCACTGAGTGTTTTGTTTGAATTATTTTTTTTTCATTTAAAAATTAATATTCATGTGTTTCACTTGACACTTACTTCATTCAGGATTATACACGGATGTTTACAAATTATTTTATTTCTGTATGAGAATTTTAGCCTGGACAAGAATTTACCCAGAAAGCAGCCAAATTTAGCTAACTGCACAGCACATAAAACTATTTTCTTCAAGGGCATTAAAAAGGATTTTTTCTAAATGTCAACCTTTATTTGCTGCAAAAACACTATGAATGGCATGAAAAATGAATTAGTGAAGAAAAAAAAAATTAAACTTAAGTCTCAAGAACATCATCAGAAGACAACTCAAAATCAAATTCTTGATTCATAGGAATGTGCCCACAACAAGATTTTGCTTCCAAAGCACAGGAGCAGAAAAGAACAAATTTCCTACCATGTGAAGAAATTACCATCCCTCCAGAAATTTACTATTACTGAAATATCTCCACTCTATTTCCAAAAGCTATACCTTTTCTAAAGAGCAATCCTCTTTAAAAATTGTATAAAAGTCACTCTATAAACAGGAGATATCCTTAAGGATTCAATCAAGTAATAAACCTGGTAGATGAAAGACAAATTAATTAAAATGACAGTACAGTCTCCCTGTAACACACAGCTACAGACTTGTTATGTTGGAGTACCTAATCATAATCAGATTTGGTAATTTGCTGCATGGAAACAAAAAGGAAACATTTTTAGAATTGATCATTCAGTTCATGTCACTTTCATGGAGATTGCTTTCTATTGATCAACATTTTAAATAGTAGTTGAAAAGAGAAGGATGAGAAAAGGATAAAAAGTATCTTTACATGCTAAATACAGCATGAACCAATAAGAGCAAAATAAATTAGATCACTACAGCCAAACCAACCCTGTGCATGCGCTCGCTGTAAAATGAAGACCATTATGAATGAAAGAGATGGTTCTTCATGCTTCAGTCATAACAAAAGGAGAGTTTTAAAAACGAATTTAGACTTTAATCTGCTCAGAATGAAGTTTTCCATGCAGCAATTAAAGCCTGTGAGAAGCTGAACCATTGTCAGCTTCACGAAGACAAACGCTGGTTTGTTTTCCGAACGATATTTCCATGTTTCCTACCTGTGGATTCCAACTGGGGTCGAGTTTTTTCACGGCAGCGATGTACTCCTGCATGGCTTGGTGAGGGCTGGTATCTCCCAGGGCTTTCCAAGCCTCCCTAGGAGCAACAGCAAAACATCAGTGAGCCCCTCAGAGACAGCACAAGGTGTTTTTATAGCGACATCAACACAGCAAACAGATTCATCAGAGTCCTCTCAGGGCATGCAAAGCCATCTTTCATTCAGCTTGAAATGGTCAACTTTTCTCTGAGGCCATGAATGGCCACTGTCAGTGCAGCTCTGTTGTGAAAAGATCTTTCAGGGGATCCTGATCCAGGCTGGAACACACTTTGTGTTCACAGAGCTGCAGCTATTTTCACATTTTTGCTGTATGCACATCAGTTCTGGATGAAGACAGTAAATACAGGAGTCTGGTATTTCACATCTCTATCAGGCATAGTAGCAAAGATTTCCCAGTTAATCAAAGGATTTTAAAGCCTGGTGGCTCTGCAAGCTGACATCCCCTAGGTCCATAATTTGTCCACAGATGAGACAAGATGCAACAAAAAGGAGAGCCAGAATTGCTAGGAATGCCAAGGATTTCCTCTTACCATTTCTGCTTTCCCTCAAAATCAAAGAAGCCTGGCTTGGGGGTGTTACAGGTTCCAAGTTTCACCTAGAGAAAAGAACAAAAAAAAGGAAAATTCTGTGTTCTGATGGTTTCAGTGTAATAGTGTCATAAGGCCAGAAGAAAGGTTTTTTTGGGAAACAACTTGACCAACCCCATCTAACCCCTGCTTTAGCACCTCTGCATCCCTGGGTTTTCTTTGCATCATGCACGGGAAGCAATTTTGTTGTGCAGCTCATTTCTTTTGCATGCATTACCCACAGGGATAACCAGTGAGTGATTTCTCACTAATGTTATGTTTATTACCCAGCCAAATGCCTCATCCTCCACCAGTATAAAGAAAAATTCTGTTGATTAGGGTTTCTACAGAGATGATTATTCGTTACGGCTGAAATTCACCTGCTTCCGCACAAAGCTCGAGTAAACAGACTTTGCTTAATTATTTTCAAGGTCCCCTGGAAGGCAAGGGGACAAACTTGGAGCAAAGGACTGCCAGGCAGCTCCTGAATTTGCTCCGAGGCACCTGGCTGCAGGAAGCACTGCATGAGAGACAAGTCAAGGCCTGAGTGCCAGAGATGAAGCAATCTGTCAGAAGCAAGGCAGAAATTAAAATGTATGTGTGTGTGGAGGTGAAATTAAAAAAAAAAAACCACAAGGAAGAAAGGGAATGAGCCAGAACCCAGGGATAGATATATAGAAAAAAGTGTCATAGCCAGTGTAAAACAGACTTGGTGTCAGTGGGATTCAGGCAGTTTTCCACAGGTAAATTTTTTTTTTAACGCAGGGATGATGGGTGAAAGGCTAGAAGTGAGAGCTGAAGCAGGGCAGCAGCTCCTGGGAAGAAGTTATCACAGCAAGGCAGGGCACAGACCCCAGGGAGGGGACACAGGCACATCCTGGAGGTGGGCAAAGGCTTCTGGAGAAATGTTTTGTTAGCCAAGCAAAACCAAACTGCATCCAGTAAATTTTTTATGAAATATGCTCAAGTGTTCAGGCAGGTGAAGTGCTTAAATCAACTAACAATTCTTCACCTTAACAGGGTGGGGATTTTATGCTGAGGATGGAAGCATTAATCAGGCTTTAAAGAGAGCATGCCCATGCTGAGAGATATTTATTAGTTCCACTATGTTTTCATTTAAAGTGTTAGAGGATATGAGTGACTGTAACTGAAATTAATTTTCTGTACATCTGACTGTCTCCCAGTGAGCAATTCATCCAAATTAGAACATCTTAGCTGGCCTTTAAAACAACATATTGCATTTCATGGAGAAATAGGAGAATAGGCTAGCAACAGTTAAGTTCTATAAATCAGTCACAATTCATGTAGTCTAAATGCTTTTTTTTCTACGCTCTGAGGTGGATTGGGCCACTTGTTTTAAAAAGCAAAACAAGCTAGGGAATAAAATGCAAATTCATTATGTGTATGGAAAATGCCTGCTTGGCAATTCTTTAGTTCAACAGCCAACCTGCAGAAATTGGCCAAGACAGATAAAAAAATAAATCTGTTTTAATACTAATTTTCCACTGCCATCATCAAAACACGACAGCAGTTTCCTCTCTGGAGATTTGGCACTCAAAGGCTGTTCTAGCATTGGGGAAGACTCTTAGTAACATTGATAGTAATACAAATCAAGGAACAGTAGTTAAATTTCATCCATCAAGAGGGGAAAAAAGTGCACTTGTGCCCTGCTTGCTATTTTAAGGAACATTAAAAAGGCTTGCAGTGGTTTTGTTGGAAAGAATAAAACACAAGATTTTGGCTCCTCTCTTTTTGCTGCAAGACTCACAATGCAGGTAAAACCAATGAGGAATTTAATATATAAGGAGACCTGAGCCTGACAGCTGAGGAAGGAGTTAAACATGTCAATACTGACAAAAAATGGCAAAATTTTGTGCAGGACTCTGTTCTCCTGCTACTTCCCTAGAGGACCTCAAAATGTGTTTTACTCCATAGCCAGCACAAAGCCAAGAGCCTGTATTAGTATTTTAAATTAAGACTTTCTCATTCTGTGTCCAGAAAATAATTATTGAAGGTCTCTAGGGTGCTGACTGGTTACTTGATGCTCAGCTCTCCTCATTTACAGTTCATCAGCTGCATTAAAAGAACATGACAGCCAGAATGCATTAAAAACTTCCTGGTATTGCTTCTGCATGCAGAGTTGCCTGCAGGCACTATTCTCCTGAGCTGCACAAACGTGATCCAGGCAGTGTCTGCAGTCATCTCCATCTGTGGCCAAAATAAATTTGTAAACCTTGGATGAGGCCTTCACTTGAGAGCTGAAGGTCAATGACATTCAGAAGAGGGAGAGATGCTCAGAGGTGTGTTACTGCTGCTCACCATCCCCAAACACCTTCAGCTGCTGCTCCACACCGTGAGAAACCTTGAGATTCTCCTCACACCTTACTCCACCACTGGTTCTCCCTCCCTGGTGGTGGTTAAATGTCTCTTTGCTAATTTTTCTGCCAATATATTTATACAACGGGGTGTTCCAGCCAAATATTCCTACCTGACTGTAAATCTTGTAAGGTGAATTGTATTTGCAGCCTTCCTGTGGAGCAATAACAGGAACAGAACCTCCATGGACAGCAAGACTAAGCTCTCACTGTACACAAGCCAAGGAAGCTAAATTGCTTTTTCAAGACAGCAATTCCTGCCTGTTCCTGCCCACAGCTCTGCCCCAAGCCATGGGAAAGCCCTGACTGAAAATGGGGTGTAAGGAAGGACAAGCAAACACCAGCCACAGAGGAGGGGTCATGAGAGCCAAGGGACTGCAGATCCCAGAGACACAGAAAGTGACACTGGTAACAACCAAGTCAGTGCCATCACACTGGAACCTGCAGGCAGGAATTCCTGTGTTCAGGGCAGGCTCGTGGCATCACATTGCACAACACCTGCAAGACATCATGCAGGATTGGTATTATATCCTTGAGCCCACGCTTGGAGACACTACAGGCCCCGTTTTGCCATCAGCACTGGATTTCCAGCTTGCCAGCACCTCTCAGCATTTCCATAGACACGTCCTCCTCCTCCTGGCAGGGCAGTTTTCCCAGTCCAATAATTCCCAGCAAGTTCTGGATCCCCTCCCCTACCTAAATCACCACATTGGTCTCCCTCACTGCATCTTCTGAACACCAGATTTTTACATCCTCCTCTTGATGGGCAAGTGCTCCCTTCACTTCACCACTACACACACAAGGCCCAGAGTAGTGATTTGCCCAAAGCCACACAGAAAGTAGTAGAAGGAAAGAAAAATCACTCCCAGTCCAGAGCCTTATGACTACTCTGTTCCTCCTGTTGTGGGGCAGAGTCATAAACTCAGCAACATCTTCTGAAAACCTCACTGGAGATGACAACTAAGCAATTCCCCTATTTTCAGGTCTCTGACACATAAACAAAATCAGAGAGAAAAGTAATAAAATCCTGAAATGGCCTCCAATAAAAGGTAATAAAATTCCAGGAAAATGCCTATATACCCAAATAGTTTGAAATAAATAATATCCAGTATTTTAACAGAGAGCTCAGCTGTTACTGTCACCTCTTTTATGACGGTGCTGTATCTTAAATCAAAGCCTTTAGTGACACAAACCACTAAACTGGGAAAAGACAAGGATGCCAAATCAAGGACAGTGGACAGATCTGAGTCAGCACCTTTTGTGTGCCAGCAATTCCACCGTCCAGCGGGGTAATATATTAGCAGCTCATTATGCATCCTGATACGGCTGCTGTAATTAAATCCAGAAAACTTGCATGAAGTGCCCTCGTTTTCATTTAAAGCACAAAATGCTACAAAACTTAAAGGTAGCAGGGCATATAATCCTGCAGTGGCTGAGCCAGCAAACCTCTCCCATTACCAGTGGCAGCCCTACACTCCCAGGCACTCTGTAACAGGGGGGCACCTTTCTGAACTGGGAAGGCACAGAAATCCAGGAGCCAAGCACAGCCTGAAACCAAGGAGCACAAAAGCACTTGCTGTCACATCCTGCTTGGTCAGGGACACAGGAGAAGAACACAGAAGTGCCCTGTTCTTCTCAGTGAAAGGCAGCTGGAAATCCGTGCTGACAAAGTGTTAATTGTCAGCTTTTCCTGACTCTTGGGAGACAGCTTCTGATTTTTGCAATTTTTAGCACTAAACTCCTTATTGGTCTTACAGAGCTAACATCAGGAAACCCTCTGTAATCTGTGGACAATCATGAGCTGACAAACAAGCAATCCCTTCCCATTTCCACCCAGGATAGTCACAAAGCATTTGAAACAGAGCAAAAAATAAAGATGCTATTTGCAACAAGCATCCTGAGAATACAGACAAAAAAAAAATATAGAAAAGACACTGTTTTCTTCTCATCCTGGGCTTTGTAAAATTCTCTTCGTAGTTTTTTTCCTATCCTCCTTTTTCTTACAAGGGAAAGAGAAACCTGGAGTCCTGTTTAAGTGCTAAGCACAGTCTGAAAACAAAACCTCACGTGACCAGCCTGCTTTTAACATAATTACTGGTCCACAAACCACAGCCTGGGAGCCGCCAGCTTAGAGGATAATTAAATATTGCACTAAAACATTGAGAGCACTTCTATCTACATGGCAGTAGTAGGACACAGGTAATCCATATGGGAAGGAAATAAATAGAAGATGTGTACACCAAACTTTGTCTGTTCATCCAAATGAGTGGGATTCACTTCTCAAGCTGAGGCAGCACCTCTTGCCACACGCTTGAGCCACAGAATCACAGAAGGGTTTGGGTTGAAAGATCACCTAGATCCACCCCCCCTGGCATGGACAGGGACACCTTCCACTAGAACAGGTTGCTCAGAGCTCCTTCCAGCCTATATTTGTAGTTTTACTCTTCCATCTTCCAGGTGTAACAACACTTAGAGTTTTCTGTTTGTCCAAGTTAAGCGATTGTTCCAGTCCTTTGCAACTGGTGCTTTGTTTGGTTTGTTTTATGTAAGTTCTCCTGCAGGAGCAGGAATAAGTTACATTGTGTGTTCTGACAGGATGCATCCTATAGCTCACAGGGACTGAAGGGAAACAGGGGTTGTGTTCAAAATTATAACCAGAATAAACCAGCTCAGTTTTGAAGTTGGTTCTCCACACCAATTTCAACCACCACAGACTGTGCTGAAGCCAAATCAATGCCACAAAATCATTAAGGTGGGAAAATACCTCCAGGATCACTCAGTCCTGCCTTTGGCCAAACACCACCATTCCCACCAAAACCATATGGCAAAGTGCCACATCTTCTTGGTTTTTCAACACTTCCAGGGATGATCATTCCCTGGGCAGCCCATTCCAGTGTTTGCCCACTCTCTCAGGCAAGAAGTTTTTCCTAATATCCAACCTGGACCTCTGCTGCCAGTACTTGAGTCTGGTTCCTGTTGTTCAAAGGATGCAGCGTCAGGGCCGCCCACGGTGAGTGAGGGTGAGAGGAACAACAACCAGGGTGATGGATTTACAGAATCATTTGGTTTGGAAAAGACCTCTGAGATCACCGAGTCCCACCTTAGACTGATCACCACCTTGACAACCAGACCACGGCGCTAAGGGCCACGTCCAGTCGTTTTTTAAACACCTCTAAGAACAGTGATTCCATCACCGCCCTCCTTCCAGTGCCTCATCACCCTTTCAGTGAGGAATTCTTCCCGAAGTCCAACCTGAACTGCACCTGATCCAGAACATTTCCTTTTGTCCTGGCACATGTTACTTGGGAGCAGAACCCGACTTCCACCTGGCCACAGCCTCCTCTCAGGTGGTTGTAGAAAGCAACGAAGTTCCCTCCGAGCCTCCTTTACTACAGGCAGAGCTCCCTCAGCTCCTCTTCACCAGATTTGTGCTCCAGACCCTTCCCCAGCTCAGTTCCCTTTCCTGGACATGCTCCACAACCTCAATGTCCTTCCTGAATGGAGGAGCCCAAAACTGAACGCAGAATTTGAGATGTGGCCTCACCCATGCCCAGCACAGGAGGTCGGTCACTGCCCCGGTCCTGCTGGAACTGAAAATTTCTCTTTTCTGTGTTATTTATCACCGGTCACACTATGGCTGATACAGCCTAGGATGCCCTTGGCCTTCTCGGGCTCATGTCAGCATCGCCAGGTCCTTTCCCGCTGGGACACTTCCCAACCACTCTTCCCCCAAATTTCCGGGGCTCTATCCTACCGGACTCCATCCACCTCCACCGCAAGCACAGCCGGCGTAGTCCCGGAGGAAAACACCCCCGCTCCCGCCATCATCCGGGACGCAACTTTCCTCCTCGGCACCGCTGCCACATTTTGGGCCGCAGCCCGCAGGCACGTGGCTCCGGGAGAGCCCCAGGCCNGCCCCGGTCCGCCCGGCAACACGCTCCCCCGCCGCGCCTCGGTACGCGCGGCCGCGCCGCCCCCGGGAAACGCGCGCCGCGCACGAGGGTTCCGGGCGGAGACGTGAAGGAAATGCCAAAATCGCTGAGGTTTGGGAAAGACCTCCAAGGACATCGAGCCCAAACCTTCCCCCAGCAGCACCAATGTGTTCGTCACTAAACCATGTCAGCGGGTTTTAGCGCTTACAGGGATGGTGCCGGCCCTGGGCAGATTGTCCCAAAGATTGACTGCCCGCTCCGTATAAAAACTGTGAAAACCAAAACGCGCTCTTTAAAATTTTTAAAAGTTTCATGAGGGATAAAAGGGATAAAATCCAGCTCTGGGGTGCTTGGCTATCTGCCAAAAGCACACCCTTAGCTTAAAACACTGTTCTTTAGATACTATTACCTTACAGGGGAACATGCGTATTTATAAGAGTTTATACATATTCACACATTCCTTTGAGTTTAGATGTTCTTTTGCTTGGTTTTAACCTCTAACTTGTGCCATCTTGTAGATTAAACCAATATATTTTATTTCTTCTCGTGGTTCCATACTGTTGTTTTTACACTCCCTGATAACGAGGAGTCGGAAAATTGGGTTCTGGGTTTTTTTTTCCACTGTTATCAAACAGAGTCTACAAATGCGAGGAACTACCTAATTATCTTACACCATCCTCTTAGTTACATAAAAGCATTTTAACATCACATAGTCTCTATTTTAATGTTATGCTACAGCTTAAGACATAAGATGTTTATCAAATTATTTACTATGTACATAAACTATACGGTGCATATATAAACTCACAGATTATACTATACCAAAAAGGAAATAGAAATTGCACCACATCAACATCTTTGTGATTAATAATAATACGCAAAAGCTAATACACAAATGTGAAAGCCAATACTATATTGTCATTTTATAACAAAACTTCTCTAATATCAAATCTAAACCTCTCCTGCCGCAGCTTGAGGCTGTTTCCTCTCATCCTGTCGAGGATGGGAGAAGATGCTGACACTGAGCTCATCCTTCCCTGGACTTGCTCCAGCACCTCAATGTCCTTCCTGAATTGAGGGCCCCAGGATTGAGGGTGTGACGGATCCAGCGATGGATTAAGGGGGTGGATCTTAAAATTCATCCAGCCCCGCTCCCCGCCCTGGGCAGGGACACCTCCCACGATCCCGGGTTGCTCCAAGCCCCATCCAACCTGGCCTTGAACACCTCCAGGGATGGGGCAGCCTCAGCTTCTCTGGGCAACCCCTCCTGCGGCCCCAAAGCCCCTCTGTGCCGGGCTGCCACCCCTGGCGCTGCCGCTGGCCTCCCCATCATCATCATCATCATCATCATCATCATCATCATCATCATCATCATCATCATCATCATCATCATCATCCTCCTCCTCCTCTTCCTCCCGGGACCACTGGAGGGCACTCGCGGGCCGCTCCGAGACCATCCCGGGGAGAGTGCGGCGGGTCCCGGGACACAGTGCCCGGTACCGGCCGGGATCATCCCGGGACACAGTGCCCGGTACCGGCCGGGATCATCCCGGGACACAGTGCCCGGTACCGGCCGGGATTCCCCCGGGACACGCCGTCGGGATCCTCCGGGATGAAGCCGGTACGCGATGTCAGCCGGTTTGAGCCGGGATGCGGTGCCGGGTTCCCAGGGGTGACCCTGCCCTGCCCGGTGGTCCCGGCCAAGAGCTATCCCAAAGCAGTTTATATTTATCCCGGTATCCGCTTCGGGCGGAAAGTTTCCCTCTCCCGGGCACAGCTGTCGAGTCCCGTCTCCCTCCTTCCTCCACCGCCGGCCGTGGCGAATGGCAGCCCCGAGTTCCCCGGGAGCCCTTGGCCACCCCCGGCCCGCTCCGTGCTGACAGCTGGGGGCTCGGTTTTGGGGTCCCTGTGTCACCCCGAGGCACTGGGTGATGATGAAGGTGCTTCCAGCACCCTTGGTCTCCCCATGTGGCAAATCCCAGCCACATCCAACTCACCCACAGAACAGAAAATACCCTGAGTTGGAAGGGCCACACAAGGATCGTTGAATCCAACTCCTGGCCCTGCACAGAACAGCTCCAGGAGTCACACCGTGTGCCTGAGAGTGTTGTCCAAATGTTTCTGGAGCTCTGTCAGCCTCAATGCTGTGATCACTTCCCTGGGGAGCCTGTTCCAGGGCCCAGCCACCCTCGGGGTGAGGATATCCTCTAATATCTCTATATATCTCTATATATTTCTATATCTCTATGTATTTCTATATCTCTATATATTTCTATATCTCTCTATATTTCTGTATATTTCTATATTTCTCTAATATCTTTCATATACCAGCCTAATCCTCCCCTGACACAGCTCCATTCCGTTCCCTCAGGCCCTGTCACTGTGATGCTCCAGCTTGCTGCCTGGGCTATGTTGGGGCTTTTTCCACCTCTAAGAAAAGCCTCTGGCACCCAGTGAGGCTGTGAAGAGAGAAAGAGGAAAAAAGCCAACCTTTTCCATTCAGCAGCCTGTGTGCAATGCATGCACCCACTTTTCCATCCAGGGACTTCCAGAGGAAAATGCAGGAGCTGTGGGGGGAAAAAAAAGACATTCCATGACAGGCAGGGACGGTTTGGCTTTTATGCTCTCACTCTCTTCACAACCTCACTAGGTGCCAGAGGATTTACTTGGCGGGGGGGAAAGCCCCAAAATAGCCCAGGCAGCAAGCTGGAGCATCACAGTGACAGGCCCTGGGGGAATGGCATGGAGCTGTGTCAGGGGAGGTTTAGGCTGGATGTCAGAGAAAGATTCCTCACCCAGAGGGTGGCTGGGCACTGGAACAGGCTCCCCAGAGGAGTGGTCACAGCACCAAGCCTGACAGAAAACATTGGGACAACACTCTCAGGCACATGGTGGGATTTTTGGGGCTGTCCTGTGCAAGGCCAGGAGTTGGACTCGATGATCCTTATGTGTCTCTTCCAATTAAGAATATTCTATGTTTCTGTGATCACTGAAGCACCTGAAAACAGCCATGCAGGGACATCAAACCGTGGCACTGAAGGTGGCATGAGCACAGGCACACCACAGCCCTCCATGAAAAAGGAGTGGATCCCTGTATCCCAGCTTTTCCAAGTGGGGCAGGGGGGCCCAGCCTCTGCTCAGTATCAGACTGGGCACAGATTTGGCTGTGCCAAAGCCAGGAATGTGCTTGCAAGCATCCCTCTTCCCCCAGCTGCTTTCTGTGGGGACAAAGGGTACCTTGCTAATCTATGACCCCCACAGCTTGTGCAATGGGGATGAAGCCCTGGTTTGAAAGGAAGGGGAGAAAAAGGCTGAACCAACCAAAAAAAATTTTTTAAAAATTAAATAAAAATAATAAAAAAGAAATATATACATGACTGACTAACATCCAGCCTGACAAACAAACGGCAATATTTATACACACTCGTCCTCCCACCGCTCCCCAGCAGCCCCGTTCTGCTCCATCCAGCTGTGCCAGCTGTGCCAGCTGTGCCAGCCCTGCTCGGTGCGGGGCAGCCGCGCCCGGCCCGACCCCGCCGGGGCTCCCGGGCAGCCGGGCGGGCTGGCAGAGCCCAATCCGCTTCCAACAGCTCCGGAAAAGTTCTCGCAGCGAATGAGCCGGAGCTCGGAGCCTCCGCACGCTCTCTGCCGCGTCTCCATGGTGAGAGAAGCCTCCCTGCCTCGCCGGGTTTCTTCTGCAGAGCACTTGCAGCTCCTACCAGCTCTCTTTCACTTTTTCCTTGCCTTTTTTAAATTTTTTTAAATTTCTTTTTTTTATTTTTTGCACCGAAGGTCTGATCCTTCCTCCCACCCCCTCGCTCAGGCGGGCGTGGGAGCAGGTTTGATGCAAGGCGCCCGTGGAGGTTTTGGGAACCTGGCGTGGGAACACGGAGGATGGGGATGCTGGGCTCAGACATGCTGCTCCTGCTCTGCTGGGTAATGTTGATTTGGAATTGGAACCCAGTGCCAATGTCCTTGTGCTGGGTGCACCCACCACCCCCTGGAAACACGAGGTGGTGCAGGGCTGGGAGAGCCTCCAGTCATCCCAGTATGAGCCAGGTCCAATTCGGCCCATTCCCCCAGCCCTGGGCTGCAGGACACACAATACCAGAAGCATTACAAGCACCAAGTGGTTAAAAATAAAATAAATCATGCAGGGCCCTTGCACGGGCTGCATAATGTGGGTCTGCCCCAGGTCCCACGCTGGGATAGGAAAGGCACAATAACAGGCAATGCCAAGCAGGGAAAAAATATCCCTGCATAATTATCATATCCATCCTGCTGGCCAGCCTGGAGACCTGTCATTGTCCCTGTGCTGAGGGCAGAGGCCACTGCATGCCCCAAGCCTTGGCCAGCCTGAGAGCAACATCTGAAGGGATCCCTGTGAGCTAAGCTGTGATTACTTCTTTTTTTTTCCCCACAACAAAAGGAGAAGGAGGCAATTAAGAGCTGGTTCTTTTGTAGATGTGCCTTTCACTGTGGGAGACACCTGCCTTTGGAGGAGGAGTGGGCTGGGGATGTGTGTGGCCCCCGAAGACGAGTGGCACAGCCCCCAGTACACCTCAACCTGGCATATGTCACCCCTGCTGTGGACAGAGCTGCTCCTCTGCTTAATAAATGTCCCCTCCTGTCCCCAGAGCTCCTCCAGACCACCCATTGCATATGTTCTCATCCTGCTGCTCTCCTTTCCCTTGTCTCCCTCATGGCTTTTTGGAAGATTTGGTCCCTGAACCAATGTCCCTGGGGGAGAGACCTCCTCTCCATCGTGCCTCCCTGCCAGGGCACAGGAGGGACCAAGAGGGACTCACTTCTGACTGAACCTTTGCCAAACATCCCTGTAGGGCACCACCAAGCCCTGTCAAAGCCAAGCAACCCCATGCCTTGCCTGCATATGGAGCCTGGAGCTGCGTGGGTGGCAGCTGCCTGCCAAAGCCATTTCTTGGCAGCACACGAGGTTAATGGCTGAGAACTTTTTCCCTGGCCTCCAAGATGACAAAATTCTCACTGTGAGAACCCAAGCTGTGCTGCCAGTTTCGGGCAGGCAGCACTCTGCTGCGATGCTTTGGGGTCCATGCTTTACCCCACCTTCTCTTCCACGCTGCTACCACCTCTTGTATCTACCCCGTGTCCTGCACC